CACTGACATCAAGTTGATTCAGACTCATAGTAACCCCCATTGGGTTTCCAAGGCTGTAAATCTTCACAGAAGTAGATCACTCCATCTTCCTTTCACAGAGCAGCTGGTGGGTCTGAATGACTGACCTTCAGGTTAGCAGCCAGATGCCTTATCCATTACACCACCAGAGCTCCTCAAAATGGGTATATAATGCACTGCTGTCGAGTCAGATCCAACTCATGGTGACCCCTCCGAGGTGGTATCACTATGGAAGTAGATCACCCAACTTTTCTTCCGAAGACTGGCTGGTGGGTTTGAACCGCCAGACTTCTGGTTAGCAGTAAAGTATCTACAAATGGTGGCAGTAAATGCTAAGAGCCATGTGAAAAGCAATAGCAATAAAATGATATAAAGATGTTCAGAAGTGTATTAACATTCCAGTCAACATGATCAAGAAAAGTACCATGGAAAAAGGGGTATTTGAGCCAAGCTTTGAAGGGGTAAGGAGAATTTTTTTTTTTTTTAGTGTACAAATCAACAGTTTTTAGTGTACTCCTAGAATTATACAACCATCATCACAATTAATTCTAGAACAGTTTCATCAACTCAAAAAAGAAATTCTGTGCCTCTTAACTACCATCCCCTCCCCAAGTCCTCTCATCTTTCCCAGCTCTAAGTAATGAGTAATCTACTTTCTTTCTTTCTATATCTGCCCATTCTGGACATTTCACATAAATGGAATTATATGGTATGTGATGTTTTATGACCTGCTTCTTTCACTTAGCAGTTCATCCATGTTTAACATGTATCAGTACTTCATTCCTTTTAATGGCCAAGTAATATTCCATTGAATCTTTATCCATTCATTAATTGATGAGCATTGGGGTCATTTCCACCTTTTGGCTATTATGAATATAGCTGCTATGAACATTCACGTTCAAGTGATTATGTGGCAGAATTTTAATAAGAGACAAGCAAAGGAAAGGACTGAAATATTTTAAATCATTTGATCCCAAAGATGATTCAAGATAAAAGTTTTCACTGGGTCTCTATCAAATGAATTTTTTGTAAAGCTAAATTTACTCAAGTCAAAGGACTGTCTTTTATTGTGAAACCTTCCATTTTTAATGATAAGCATTCTTTTAAAGTGATGGCAATAGCAAAAGTTAGATTATTAATATATTTAATAAATAATTTTTTTTTAAATTTTGATTTTCTGTTATATCCCAAAATATAAGAAACATAGTTGCATGAAGGAAGTAGCATGAACAAAGGAAAGAATATGGAAACATGCAAGATACCTTCACAGCAACATACAAGTCAGTGGTAGCTGTGCTTGACATGCACTGGCCAGGAACTGAGCCTCAGTTTGGGAGTATGGGTAGCAAGAATTTTACCACTGAACTACCACTGCCCTCAAGGAAAACTACCAGGGTCCCCCCTTCTTCCCATTAGTGTTGAGATCACATCTTAGCAGATGAGATACATAAGCCAAAAGAAGATCTTAAATGGTGGGCTAAGGGGTTTGGGCTTTATCCTATAAAAAAACAAATTAACTGCCATAGAGTTGATTCCAACTCACAGCAACCCCCTTTGGGTTTCCAAGGAGGTAAATCTTTACAGAAGTAGACTGCCTAGTCTTTCTTCTGAGGACTGGCTGGTGGGTTTGAACCGTCAACCTTCTGGTTAGCAGTCAAATGCCTTAGGAACTATGTCACCAGAGCTCCTTTTATCCCATAGTCAACCGGAAAAGTAATCAAGTTGTTTAAATATGAAATTATTGATTCCAAGATGTCACTTCATTCAACAAACAGTAACTGACCTACCATTATACGAAAAGCACTGAATGTGGTACTATGAAAACAGAGTGAATTAAACTTTATCGCTGCCTTTTTGTAACTTAGTCTTTAGAGGAAGAAAACAGTCTGTCTCTATTCACTACTTTTACCTTTTCTTATCTTTTAGAATGGGTAATACGTATTACTAAAAAAGAAAGTGGGGGGATCATTTTTACAAAGAAAATATGGGGCTATTCTTCTTGTGCTTAGTAGTTTTAATTCACCCATTATATGGCAATGTTAATTGCTGGGTGTACAAAGGTAAGTAAGATATAACCCCTATCCTACAAAGGTATACAGTGCAGACTCTATAAACTTATAAACTGCTCTAGAAAAATATGACAGCAGGCATTTAAGTAGGTATTATTTATCTATGGCTTCCCACTTAACAGCAAAAAACAAACAAGCACTTATTATTATCACTCATGATTTTAAGTATTTTACATATGTTAGCTAATTTATCCTAACGACCTTATGAGAAAATTATTATTATTACACTATTGTAAGATATTATTAATCCATTATAATGTATTACTTTCATCACCCTTTTCCAGGCTCTACATTTAATGATATTATTTCTGCTAATGAAAAATTATTTTAGATATAGCTATTTCATCCACATCAGCACATAAACATACTGTAATTTCTGTCATTTAAAAAACAAATCCTCTATTGATTTCACCCCCCTACACACACACACACACACACACACATAATTTCTCTTATTCTCTTACAACAAAACTCCTTGAAAGAGTTGTCTGTATGAGCTATCTCCAACCCCTCTCCTCTCCGGCTCTCTTAGCTGTTATTCCAAACAGGCTTTCACCTCTGATACTACTGAAATCACTCTAGACAAGATTACAAATGACCTCAAAATATTAAATTCAACTTTTAATTTTCAGTCTTCATCTTACTTGAACTATAAGTAGCATCTGAACATAGGTACAACCCTTTCTTCCTGGAATTACTTTCTTTACTTGGTTTCTAAGACACCAAATTGTTCCAGATTTTCTTTTTACCGGCAGCTCCTTCTCAATCTCCTCTGCTGGTTCTTTCACAGCATCACAATTTCTAACTATCACAGTGCCCCAGGCTTAGTTCTTAGATATCCTCTCTTTTCCGTCTAGACTCTTTCTTCATGATCTCACTCTAATGGCTATGTGAGAATGCCACACCAGGATGGGGATTTTTGGTTATCCCGTTTACTACAAAGTCCCCTTGAATCAGAAACAGCACCTGGCACATACTAGGTGCTTGACAAATATTTGTTGAATGAATGGATAAATGAACAAATGGCTTTTAATCTGTCTTTATAATTCTCCACTTTCCACTTGAAGGATCTGTCCTAACACCAGATATATCCAACCGCCCATTTAATATCTCCACTTGGATACATTATACAACGCAAAAGCAACCACTGCCGTGTCACAGCGACCCCTCCTTGGGTTTCTGAGGCGGTATCACTTAGGGAAGTAGATTGCCCAACCTTCCTTCTGAGGAGTGGCTGGTGAGTTTGAACCACCAGCCCTCTGATTAGCAGTCAAATGCCTTAGGCACTACGCCACCAGAGCTCCTTGGGTATGCAACAGACATCTCAAACTTAACCAACCAAGAACTTCAATCATCCTCCCAACAGCTTCTCTTTCTTAACAAAGTGCAACTCCATCCTTCTAGTTTCTCAAGCCAAAAATCTAGATATCGCTCCTAACTCCATCTCTTTTCTCTCACACCACATATCCAACCTGTCAGCAAATACTGTGGGTTCTGCCTTCAAAATAGAACCAGTATTTGACAACTTCTCACCACATTCACCATTATCACCATGGTCCATTATCCTCCACCACCTGGATGAATGCAATAGCCTCTAACTTGTCTCCCTCCTTATGTCCACCACCCACCACCCCCGCCCCATTCACTCTATTCCCAGAACCACAGCCAGAGAAACTGTTTTCAAACTGAAGTCTGATCACACCACTTCTCTGCTCATAACCCTGCAATTATTATTACTTCACTCAGAGAAAAAGCCCAAATCTTGACAAACGCCTACAAAGCTTTACTCAGTTTGGCCCTAGCACATCTCTGGCTTCATCTCCTATTTCCCTCCCTCACTTATTCTGTTCTGAAATCAAACTCTGCTATTCTTCCAAAGGTCAAGTACCATTTCCACCTCAGGGCCTTTCCCTTTAGTGTTCCCTCTTCTGGAAAGCTCTGCCTCTAGATAGCTGTATTTCATCACCTCATTCAGGTGTTTGCTCAAATGTCACCGTTCCCATGAGTTTTCCCCTTATCACCATATTTAAAATTGCAACCCCAATGCTGTATTTCTTATGCCATTTCTCTGCTCTATTTTTCTCCACAGCACTTACCATCAGCTAAAATACTATATGCTTTATTTTCTGGGACATAAACTGAAAGAGGGCATTTTTGTCTGTTTTGCTCACTGCTATCTCACTAGCATTTAAAGCCCTACCTATCCGTTGTGTGAATTATTTCATGGCCGCCAGGGAGCCTAACAAATCACGTAGCCTAGTTTTTCAGGAAAAGATCATCAAACTTCCCTTAGATTTCTCCCAGTTCTCATATACCTAGAAAGATGGTACTTTGCATAGAAAGAAAAAGTGCCCTTTGTCTAGTCAACCACAAGGAGGAGTGGAGAGGAACAGCTGAGCAAAGAGAAACCCGAATATGCTGCTGCCTTGCTTTTCCTACAGTAACCTCAAGGTGGAAGAAAACTGCATTTGGCGGTGACGGATTTAAGTGAATGATTTTCTGCATACTATGAGTTACACACACATAACACACAAACGTAAGTATTAAAAGACAATCCTTTCGAATGCCACCCAGGCGCTAACGCAATCAACTCACAGGCCACGAAGGGTCAAGTGTGGTTTTTTTTAGCTCCACCACTGAGAATTCGCCAAAAATCTAGGGGCAAAGTTCCTATGAGCTGCGAGACACACGCCACTCACAGCTGATGGCCAAGGCGTCCCAGGCTGTCAACACTCTCTGGCCAGAGAAACCGACTTTAAGTCAATTCCATTGGGTATTTATATGAAACACCTACAATTCTTAAACGTTGTAAGCAAGGAGGCCCCAAGGATAAATTTCTCAGATTTGGAAGATCGCATAGCAGGTCATGAAGGACCAAACACCGACATCAACGTACACGGGGTTTTGACTCACCGCCACCTGTTGATCCCCACGTTAGACGAGCCGGCGAACCAGGGGTCAAGGATGTAAACGCAGCGGATAGTGTCGGCGCCCTGAATGCACTCCTTCAGGGCAGGGTTGTCATGCAGGCGGAGCCCCTTTCGGAACCAGTGCACGGCATTCACCCCCATCCCGGCGGCCCGCGGGGTCGGCGCCGAGTTCCTCCAGAAATTCAAGAAAGGAAGGGCCGGCTCATAACCGACACCTTCGCTTCCAAGAGAATCGCCGCACCCAAGGAGTGAGGAAAGGGCGGCAGAGGGGGGACAGGAAAAAATGAATATGCGGAGGGGCCGCGAGAACAAGAGGGCGCGGGAAGCGTTGCTGGAAGATGAATGGAGGTTGCCCAGTCCGGGTGTGACGCCCTTTAGGACCCCGCGCCGGCCGCAACCGCCTGGGGGAGACGCATAACTTCGAGGGCCTCGGATCCCCCGCGGTTGAGCAAGTTCCAGGAGCTCGTGCCGCCACGACGGCCCGAGCCAACACCGGCGGCCCCAGGAGGTTCGTCACGGAAACCTCGCCCCAAAGGCGGCCCCCGAGGAGAAAATGGCCCGCCGGGGATAAGTCGCCAAAAGAAATGAGAGAGGATTCAGTCACTGTAAGCGACGGTACCTCGCGGCCCGGGAGATAGGAGTAAGGACCGAGGAGGAAGGCGGTGGTCGAGGACGCTGGATTGTTGCCGGCCGGTGACCGATCCCGAGGCTGCCCGGGTGACGACGCCGCGTCAGCGGCCTCGGTTCCGCCCCCGGCTTCTGGTTGGCTAGCACATACCCCACGTGACCACCGGCACCTCACGTTTCTGAAGTGTGTTTACTACATTGGGTCTGGCTAGGGAATCTGCTCGTGCTTCGGTAGCTTCGAAAGGGCAGTACCCGCTCAAGACTGTAGATCCTCGTTCCAAGGCTGGGACCCCTGCCGCTAGCCCTTTTCTCAGCCGTCTGGCGCCAGCGACGACCACAGGCCCCATGTGAGGAACGGCTTAGCTCCGCCCTTGGGGGCCGTGAGAGGCCACTATTGGCTGAGGCTCGCTGAGACCCGGATGAGCACGGGGCTGCGGGGAGCTCGCGGGCACGCGCTCAAGTCTGGGAAGCGCGCTTGCGCTCTTGTTGCGTCCAGGAGGGGAGGGCGGACTGGTAGGCAGGCGCGCGCGGCAGTTCTCTTTTAGGGTAGTAGGAGGTAGGTAGGTCGTCTCTGAAGCTCCGAGAATCAACTGTGAAGCCTGGCGTGGAGTGAGGGGAGATTGGGGTGGAAGGAGGAAAGTCGGAGACTGCATTTAGTTAGACTTTGAGCCCAAACCATGTGCTTCAATCAGAGATCTCTATTTTCGAGGGCCCAAACCTGGCACCCTCACCATTCTGACCTCGTGGCGTGGCACTTGTGGACTCCCTCTGTGAAGGAAGGGTAATTGGTCAAGTTGTGAGGATTTTTGTTTTCTTTATGTTGAAGTGTAATCCATACTGCAAACTGTAGTCTTTCATATTCATCAGTAGGTACTACAAGTCATCTTCACTTTCAGCAAGCAAGGTTGTTTCATCTGCATATCGCAGGCTGTTAATGAGTCTTCCGCCAATCCTGATGCCATCCTCTTTTTCATATTGTCCA